ACACACGGACCAACAACGGACTTAATAGGTCTTTGTCTGTTTTTTCGAGCGTAGTTGTTGTTGTAGCTTTTCTAAAAAAAAAGAGGGTCAACGTATTTGTTTTCGTTGGATAGGCTATCTTTCGTGCAATAAAATGGCCTTGCACGTTTCGTTAGAGTTCTGATGGCCCGTGGCCGGCCACGGATGATGTTAGGCTGAAGGAGTCGAGTCGGTTTCCTGTAAACTGTTGTCCGCAATGAGTTAAAACTTGAAATGTTAATAAAATATCTACAGGAACATTGGTAAACCATGTGATAAACGTGTTAGGGAATTAGCTCAAATAGTTGAGCGCCCGCTTATAATTAGCATACGGGAGGTAACAGTTTGTCACAATTAGTGTTCCCTACACATCAAGTGTTGACATTTTATCGCCACAAATTTAAAATAAAAGACTCTTGTGCAACCCAGTGGAAGAAATATGTGAATTAGAAAAAAAGACCATAAATCTCCATGAACACAGGGTAATTATTAGCATCGTTCAGAATAGCAAGTTATTCAAAAGAAGAACCAGAAAATTAATAGCAAGACGTGGAGTCCGGGTCTCGATTCCAGTGCCTACTGAATGAAAGATTAAAGATAGCCCAGTTAAGAAATTTTGACTCAGTTCTTTGCCTTGCACAACTGTTCTTCAGCTTTGGACATAAACAGCTCTAACTCAATAACATTTAAATCTCCGGGGAAAAAGTAAAGCTGAAAGGCAAAATATTACCGCTAACAGCAATAATGGGCAAAGGTATGCGACGTCTGCAGGCTCAGTCGGCAGAGCGTGGTGCGTGAGTTCGACTCCTACCCCAATTTTCCCCCCTCATCTATGAAACTGTTTTTTTCCTTATACGTTATGAAATTCCATCACAATGAACCTCATCAGTTACACTTGACTATCAAAATTTTCTTCGTGCATAGCAAATAATTCCAAAAACGAGGTCATTGGCGTTTCTTTATTCTTTTGAGAAGTTAGAAGAAAAGTGGACAAAAACAAATTATGTACGTTCACAACTTGTCAAAATCACCGATACCCGAATTGTTGAAGCTTTATACCATACGCAGAAGATAAATGGAAAGACGAAATGTTAATTCATCGTCATCCCAACTGATAGGTATACCAGCCTTGTGAAATTGGTCATGGAGTGACCAACGTCGTCGCTATAATCAACCCGAAATCTTTTAAAAGTTAAGTATGAACACTTTGGAACTTGCGGATAGATAATTTGTTGTGGCATATAATTACAAATGCTCAATCTTGGTAAAAAAAGTTTAAAAAAAAAATATGCTTTAGAAATGAATTGAGCAGAAATCATATAATTTCCATGACCGCTATCAAAATGCATGCACATAATTTGATTCTTTCTGCGGCTTAACATTGACACTACAGCTTAAAGAGCTGTCATTGCTCATCCCCTGAACAACGGGGGGAGTGAGGGGAGGGATAGGTGGAGGAGGATTCTCGGAGGACTGTAGAACATTTAGGGCCAATTAACTTGCCAGTGAGGAGGGATCATGGATCATAGGAAGATTAAAGAGTCCTATGGGGAAATCAGGTTATTTTTATCTTCACTCGTCTAAACTCCAATTTGTTTTTGTTATATATAACAAGAGATCAGAATTTCTTTAAAGAATAGTAACATCTATCATCCTTCATTCACTTCACAAATAATTATCATTTCAATGACTCTTGATTTGGGTGCAAATAAAAACACAGCAAAACTCCTTATAACTAGATAGATATGTTATGCACTGATATACGGCGCTGGTTCTGTGTTGGAAAAAATGACCTTAGTCTTCACGACACGATGTCGTAAACACCAAGGTCCATTCAACGATGAAACAAATGAGTAGGGAATCAATAAATGCAGACATACGAAAGGACGTCGACAGCAAATCTCCATCAACTCGGAGGAAATAAAAAAATGAATTGCTCCTCTATTTCAGAGCACATTCCGTTATGACGCGCATTATTGGAAAAATTGCTATGTATAGCGAGAGAGGTTCATCAGATCCAAAAAACATTAGTCTTAACGACCGAATCAAACAATTTCCAGGAGAAAGTTTGTGTCTCCGAAACGGTAAACTGTTTTGTGATGCTTGCAAAGAGCTTCTAAGCTCTAAAAAAGCATACTTCAAAATCATGTTGCCTCCTGAAAGCACGACTTAGACAAGACAATACACAGAGCAAGGACTACACGCTGCCAGTTGAGGAGAGAGCATACCGTTTACAGGTGGTAGAGGAGTTTCTCAAAGCTGAAATCCCTTTACGAAAGACAGAAAAACTCCGACCGCTCCTTAGAAAGCAAGGCTATCGTCTTAGTCATAATTCTAACATGAAGGAGTACATTCAAATCATATACAAGCAAGAGATTCAGAGGATGAAAGCGGAAATTCTCCGAGAACCATGTGATGGCAGTGGCGGGGAATTTACAAGGGATCTTTCCATCAACTTTGATAGAAGCACGAGACAGGGAGAGGCGATCGTGATCGCGGTCCGTTTTGTCAAGGATGATTGGTGTATTGTACAACGCCTGATCATAATTGATGTTTGTGTCAAATCAGTAAAGGCTGACGGGCTTGCCTTAGTTCTCAACAAATGTTTATCTGTTGAGTATAGTGTGAGAGCAGACTCATTGATGGCGGCCACAAGAGACGGCGCCAGCGTAAACCAAGCAGCCTTAAATCGCATCCAGTTCATATTCCCTAAGACATTCAATGTGGTTTGTTTTACTCACACCCTGGATAATGTCGCCAATCACTTTGGTATCCTGGACTTAAGTGAGTTTGGCAATCTGTGGATCTGCCTATTTGGGCACAGCCTCAAAGCGAGGCTTATTTGGCAGGAACAGACCGGACTTAAATCGAAATTTATATTTAACTAAGCCACACCAGTGTGCCAAGATCTAGCGAATGGGAAACAAGATATTTTTAGAAAGAAAACCACTTTTATTTCAACCTCTTGAACATCGTGGAGAAAGCAGCGCCTCACATTTTACAATCTTCAGCAAAAGATTGAAAGTACAAAATAAAGAGTTATTTAAGAAAAAAATGTTATAGAAAAATTATTTCATTCAATGAATATCGTGGATTTTCCTGCTACCATACAAGTTGGCAAGATATAGCGCCGACAGACAACGACTGAAATGGTCAAGCGAAAGAAAAATTTCAAGCGTTCCGGTATTTAAACAAGATCTACAAAAAAGCGGTAAGCGCTTTACGGTTATAAAAAATTGTATTCAAATTATAATGATTAAGACTAGAATTTCACATTGAACTCGTATGAAAAATAGCTCAAGAAAGCTCAAAAGTCACCATTTTAACTGTTTTTCTTTCAGAGAGTCGCTTATTCATGTTATGTTGGACTGAAAGTTTATGGAAATATTTATTGGAGAATTATTAAAAGGTACTCCAGTAAACATTCCGCCAACTGCCCCTCCATCAGGTAAATAGAACGACTGGCACTGCCGTCACGGTTACTCGTATGTGCTGGGTTGCTTGGTGGGGCTGACCAGTTGAGGACAATCTCCCGTAAAGCATGACTTGAATCGCTGTTGATAGTTGTTGTGCTTGGGTTGAAACCGGCCAACTTATTCGATATAAGCCGCTGTTTTTCCAGAAGATTGAGGCTGTAGCTGGATATGGATTCCGGATTGGCGTGGCCAGGCAGCTCTGAGATATGAGATCTCCAGTGGGTCGAAATCATCACGGAGCACTTGGATGATTGTTTTGCGACCACTCGAATTTGTGAATTCGCATTCCACAATGCGCTTTCTCGTAATTTTGCGTGTGGGGGGTTTACTCAAATTTTCCAACGATTTAAATTTCAATTCAAAATTTGGCAGACATTCGTTTTCTGTAAATTTGTTCATTTCCAAGGTGATATTTTTCGTAGCATGAGTTGCATTTTTTTTTTCACGATAGCAACAATTTTTGCTCGCGACCCACGTCACCAATATTCCTTCATGCACAAGTGCAATTCTACGCTAAATGCCCTCTCTTCAATACCTAATCAGAACGCGAGTTTAGCTATTTGATTCTAGCTAAACAAATAGGGTACAAGAGAGATGAACTCCCGTGGAGATGGCCAACATTTTCTGAAAAGAAAGTCGCAATTGATGGTAGCTTGGGTGGTTGCTACATTTAGATTTTAACTCCATTGAGACCGTCCTTTAATCATATTGAACGTTAGCTACTCAGTTGCTTTCTAACGCTAAAAATAAAAATGGGGACTTCAATGATTTTCTCATCTCGTTTAGGTGGAAAGAGGTCTGCTGTTTTGCTAATGTTAGGTCATTAGCATCCGTGAATTTCCCGTAAATAAATAATATGAGTTTCTTGAAAGAGAAAAGTAACCACGGGAAAAAAATGGTCGGAAACTCTTTAGCAAATCAATGATATCGATAGTATGTGCAAGGCACAGGTTCGAATTCCGTCGGAGTCTGAATTTTTTCAGGTGTCTTTCATCACAAGTTGTTATTAAAGTTATCTAGGAAAAAATAATCTAAAATTTGCCTCGTTACAAACGAGCGGCATCGATTCTCAGTTGGTAGTAGCGCTCAAATAGCGTAAGGAGACACAGGCGCGTTTTCCGACGGAACCTGAATTTTTTTTATGCAATTGCTTAATGATTTGCTGTCCTCCTGTGAGTTCCATTTCTCTTTCTTTATTTTCAACAGAGGGTCTAATGATATTTATCTCGATACAAATTGTTAGTTCAATTTTGGTTGCTAGTATCCGCGTTCGCTTCTGTTAAGTTTCTCGTCTTTCGCTGGCTTGCTCTTCGTTTCTTTCTTTCATTTTACATCATTATACTCTCAAAATCCTTTTAATCACTCACTGTAACAATATAGAGGGTAAACCTAACGAGAAAACATGATGCGACAGCGATATAATAAAGGCTAATGATACCCGGATCATTAAAAATAGATGTCCTTTCATGCATCTTGGATCTCAGTTTGGAATGTGTCGTGATACGTACCACGTATTCCTCAAAAATTGCATGGGTTAAACTTATTGTTATCTTTTAAATGGTTTTTTTTCTTTCACTGCACAAAGATATATCCCATGGCTTTGATATGCTTCTCTCCATTATCTGGACCCCTCGGGTTCGCCTCGTTTCCGCAAGTGTTCGAGTCATCAGGTCTACCTTCCGAACCAAATCCAATCCTTGAGTTACATGAGTTGCATTCGTTTTCAAAGTTGCCAACAATACCAATCCTTGCTTTGGAATATCTGGCAGTGTCACCACCTGCATTAAACCCTTCCTTGTTGCAGTTGAGTTGCAAAGAGGCCCTTGAACCAATCAGTGACTTCCATGTTTGACGACCCAAAGGAATGGCACGGAATTCTCCGTCAGCAATGAGAGAGTGCAGAGAGTCACCCTTTTTGTTGATGACAGTGAACCTGAGCTGTTGTTCGATCTTCATACCGAGACAGATCTTGGTGAAAGAAGTGTTCCAGTAGGTAGGTAGCTTTGATTCCTGCTCGTCAAAACCAGTCTTGCCTCCTACTTGGTTGAATTCCTCATAATCACTCCAGTAAGTGGAACTATAACGAAAGGTTGCCTGTGGTAAAAAACAAGTCATCTGTTTATTTCTTCAAGAACGTTGGATACATCAAGCAATTTACACCTAGTTCGCACGTCAAAGAGATACCTTGTCGCTACGCAACATGTTTAGCATGTCGCTTGCGCAAGATGCTATCGAATTTTTTTGTCTGTTAAGGAATAAAGTGTCGTTGTCAGTGGCATTTCTATTTCAGCTTGCTACACAATATCAGATGGATCATAAAAGTTTTGTGACATCAGAATTTCTTAGATAAATTGATGATATACAATCTGCTTTGACGGTGTATGAGAATATTACAAAGGGAAACTGTGTTTCTTTTTTTTTTTTTTCACGCAAAAAAAATTATGTTAAACATAAAATTGATCAGATTGAACGTCTTTACGTGCACAGAAGCTAGGCACTCTCTAATATTGGAAATATTCCAACAATCGAACAATCAATCCCGAGCTATTTTATTTTTCGCTGGTATAGAGATTACACATTTCGATCATGTTCGAAACTATCTTGACCACTTTAGGGGTACCAAATATATAAATATTTTAAGAAATCAAGTTTTTGGAATATGCACCTTACGGCCGTCAATCTTCAAAACCGGCGTCCATCCACCATCTCCACATCCAAAATCACCCATGTGACAGAGAACAGAGACTGGTTTAGAGTCAACAAGAAGGGTAACCACACTACTAATATCGGCGCTATTTTATGAGAAACAATAACAGATATGACAGTCATAGATATAATTTTGTTAGAAACAATAATCAATTATTATCATTGCGATTAATAAAAAGATAAAATAATAATCATGATGATGACTTCATGATCATAGTGACACACAATGTGATTCTGACTTTGATCGAGATGACAATGGTAATGGTATATAGTTATTTACGATGAATGGATAAATAAATGGATAAAAAATGGTAGTGAAAACACATGAACAAGTAGACAGATCTATTATTTTGTAGTGTGTGGTCGATAGGTGAACGTGTATTGTTTAACCAAATGCGTCATCAATAATTAGGAAGTGTTGCATAAATCGACCTCCGCTTGACACCAGAATATGCTCGGGTACCTTCTCCACGAAGCAAAAAGCTTTTAAAGGGCGAAGAAGTTTTGTATCTGCTTACGTTACAAAAAGGAAATCTACCTCTCGGCTTAAACCAACTTCAAAAGGAAGAATTTCATTTCAGTGGAAGCGAGTACTAAACATTTGAGCCTATTCCATAACTTAATGGGTTACAACCAAACGCAAAAGAGTGAAATATTTGAAGTAAGGTGATGACTAAATCTGATCAACCGTTTTTACTTACATGCCATTTTCATGGATCTCGTTACACGATGTAACCCCTAAAAATAGTTGAAAGATACATTCGATTTAGAGGAGGAACAGTTGGGTTCCTTTCTGTAAAATCTTAATCTTTTGTTTACACATTTTCTTCGTAATATCGCAGTTCCAGCCTGAAACGATTTATTTTTTACTTTATGCATGGCTGTATACTTCAAGCCCTTCCATAAAAGTTGGGTAAAGGAGTCGCCTTGTTATTCATAGTATTCTTCATGTATTCAGCTTTTTTAATTGATTTGTTTTCGCGAAATTTGTTATCCGCTTTCATTTATTCGTTTATTTTCAATCCCCTAAAGTAGTGGTGCTGTCATCCGAGAACAGTTTGCTTGCAGTTTGCTATTTACTTTTATCTCAAAGTACTTCGAATTAATTTGATTGCCTCTTATTTTTTTTGAGTTAAACAGCCCAAAATTAGGAGGTGCCATTACCTCCGTAGAAGACTCTCTCTTCTTAATTGTGCGCGTAGTTACGATTACCTTTGCACTCTCGCCCATTCCCAATATATCCAGGTTTACATGCACAGTTGTGCGACTCCTTGGTTTTGTTGCAAAAGGCATTAGGACTGCAGTTGTGTGAACCTTCGACACACTCATCAATGTCTGAAAACGCAAAACAGGCAAAAAACCGAACAAAAATAAAAAACAAACAAACAAACAAATCAGAACAAAATAAGCAACGAAACGAATTGAAGCAAAAACAACAGCAACAAAGAGCATTCAAAGAGATGAATTCGTGAGTCAGCCTGCAGCCCGCATTATATCGACAAGTTCACCTTTCAATATCTATTTCAATAAGTTAATTTTTTTGTTTATTTTTACTTGGTCAGAGTGATAGTGTAAGTGACACAGAAACACCTTTAAAGGAGCCCTTGTCCATAAGACCTTTGTTTTTTCTGCTGAATCGAAGGTCTCAAGAAATCGACAAAAAGGTTTAACGATTACCTGTTGAGTTCCTCAAACCCACAAATGCAGCAGGATACAGAGAACAGTTAGCTGTGTGGGTATCATCATTTTGATAGGGGTCTTTGTTCTTGCAATGATTTTCAGTTGAAGTGTTCTCGCGAAACAAAGATAAAAAATTAAAGAATCATCGAAAGTATAACACAGAGAGCTCCATACACTGTGCGAAGTACGTATAATTAAGGGAACACCTATATTGTTCTTGCAATATTTTTTATGACACAGTAATGCAATGAGTATTAGTTTCAAAAAGCCCTATTTCTGAACAGGTAAGCCACAGTTGACGAGGGTAAATAAGAAAAATAAGTGAATAAATCATTAGCTAAGCATTAGATAAATAGTTAAATAAATGATCAATTAAAATTGCAAACGGATTATGAATAATAGGAAAAAAAACCGAAAAAAAAATCATACTTGGACAACAGTTCTATCTAGAAGCAAGGAAATGTCTGGAAGAAATGATCATGTAATTACACATCAGAGAAGCTATCATTTCACTTCTTCTGAACTATTTTGCTTTATACATGGCATTTCTCCATTAAAATGTCGGCTGATATCAAACGAGAGGGAAACCAATTCTTACCACAATGTAAAAGTAATGCCAACTTTTGTCTTGTCTGAATTCCTTGGGGTCGCTGTACTTATCAGATGACAGTAACTCGCACCATAGTTTCCCTTTAGTAGCAAGGTTCACAGAGAAACATGAAGGATGTTGAAGGCATTTAAAGGCACATTCAAAATCGTTGTAAACCAAAAATATTCCAACTCTGGGCACATTCAAATAATGGAACTTGTTCATAGAAAACAGACTGTATCTTGCCTCTTTGTCTCGTTGCATGAAAGTGTTGGTTCCTAGTAAGTGAGTCAGTCAAACATGATATTAAGCAGATGGTGACTATTTTGCAAGTCACACTATTCTTGAAGAAGCTTACCAAATATATTTGATTACTTCTTACTTGTGATCTATTGGAGGACAGGCGAATAGATAGCGTCACCACCGACCATTTTGTGTCTCTATTACATAGAACACTGAAATAGATTCAATGTCGCCGTGGGTCCGTTCAATAGTAGATTTAATGAAACATCAGTGATTCACTCAGTTGCACCTCGTGTAGTGCATGCTATGATTTGTTATTGAAAAGATGCACGGCAACATGGAATCCATTTTTTAAAGCAGAGCAAGTTAAAGGAAGGGAGATATGAACAGAATAAAGGGCACCGAACGCGTCTAGAGAAATTCGCTAATGATTTGCAATGTTTGCAAGAGGTTTTGCATGTTTTCGATCTATTAATAGGTACGACTTTATAAAATCATAATTTTCCACGTCAGGAACGTCTCAAATAATAAACACAACGTATAGTAGGAACTAATGTTGTAGAGAAAATAGAGCACTCAAATCCATGCGGTCCCTGCAGTTCATGCAGTTGTCTTAAGCGCCTTTCATGTCCCCACGACACCTTTTTAATGCTTAGAATGCCGCTATTTTTCTTAGAGTGATTACTAGTGTTTCCAAATTCCTAAATAATTACATAACCCGTCCGTGCTAAACTCAGATAAATTGTAACAGGGAGAGCAACTTCAAGCAGAAGAGTCTGTTATGAAAATTATTACAATAGGATTCTGCTTCTAGACAACTGATATGATAAATGATGCGACGCGATTTCAGTTGGGAGGTAAAGTTATCAATCCATTAGGGCGATTTACTTTTGTAATGCTTGACTGAACGAGCAATGTGGAGAAACTCATTAAACTCGCAATACTCCCCTAGGTTATTAAGGGGCAGAGATCCATCGCTAATTTCCATATGCCTATACCAAGGATATACATCAACTGGAATTGGAAAAAACTGAGAGAATTTTACAAGACTTGCTTTGACTCTTCTTTAACGCTTCACAACACTCGCGAATTTAAGTCGACGTAAAATTCCCAATGCAAGTCTCCGATAAAAATTCTGCACATACAATCCTGATTGTAAATCTCGAATTTGAATGTTGCATGAAGAGTTTGAATCTCAAATGCAAATATCGAATGCAAGTACTCTTTGTAAATATTGAATGTTAATCAAAATTACAGCTTCAAAGCTAGTATTTTTTAAATAGTAATGGTTATGCGAACAATAAATCAGGTCTCGGTTGTTCGAAGGGCGACGAACAATATCCAAGGGATTAATAATGCAAACGTGTTTTTAAAGAATGGAAATAAGTAATTGTAATAGTCCAGTGAAAGTACTTAGGGTGAGTGATCTCGTTTTAGAGGTTGTGAGCATCAATGAAATACCAGCGGCCACCTATCGTTCTGGCCATATCCTATGATTCTTTGTAAAATTATTGAATTCTTGTTCTTATTATGTCGTATGATCTTAAGTAAAGTTACTGACAACCAGCTGACAAGGCACAAAGTCTGATATTTTTTTCGAACTTTCTAGAAACTTTCGATAAGACAATGGAAAGACATGAAATGTGTGGACTCATGTGTAGATCTGTGTTAAGTTCATCATTTGCTCACTTGACTCAGTTCGATAACACTATTCACTAGATATAGCTATCCGGTGGATAGTGCAATACATTTTGTTAACACTTGTCTACTGGATAGCGATTAAGCACAGAAGTGATGGTCTGTGGTAATTTTACTGCGTTCATGACAAGGCGATCTTCCCTTGCAAATAGTGAAATTTTCACTTAATTTGAATTTTAAACAAAAATTGTGAATTTTACATTCGACAATTCAACAATTTTGTGTGACAGTTTATATAGCTGAGGTGCTTTCTGACGTTCAATATCTGTACTTATTATCAAACTGCACAAAGAGGAGTGCAAATAACGTGCAAATAGAATACAAATATCTTGCGATATTGTACGCTTTGGACAGTTGGTCATTAATTTCTGTATTGTTGAAAAGACCTGTTGGCTGCGCGCGCTACGCTTGTCTATTCGCTTTGATTTTACCGCATTGTGAGAAACGAGCAGAAAGAATTAGCAGAAAGGAAAAATAGCAGTTGGATAATAAATAACTTATTACATGTTTTGGTGTGTAGCATCGCTGAGTATTACGGCAGACCTTATAAAAACACTAACCGATACTACACACAAAAACGTCTAATAAGATATATATATATAATAAAAGGAATCCAAACTTATTGTTATTGCTTATAAAAAGAGATTGAGAAACTCAAAACTTGCGGCCGAAACATCTGCAAAACACTTGGGTGGATGAAATTTGTTTTGAATTACCATCTAACATAGCAAAGTTTGGTGCTAAAAACTGCTGGTTTAGAAAATTTATTTTCCTTAATTTTCACCAAATAATTTGTAAAAGACTCCGCATTAGAGGCGATAAATTCACAGGAAAGTTTATCATTAAAACGGACATATATCACTTCTAATTATAACAAGGCTAGGTTTTTCATCACTTCATTTTCTCAGCCTTAATTCTTTTAATTCTTAATTCTCTTGTTTCTAAAATGCAAAGTCTATGCTCAAACATCTTGGCGCCCAGACATCAATTATTCAAAACTCGAGGCGATTGTGATTATATTTGTAATTTTCGTCCTTTTTTTATTTAAAACTTGGCCAATTCAAGCCCTCTCTTTTTTCCTCAAGAGACTTAGTCTGCTTTGCGGTCCTTTTGATATACTTCTACGGCCTTTCATTGGCTGTGAAAATGCCAAACGCGACTATGTATCAGAAGACGATGTCAACGTGGTTTTACATCGTTTCCATTTATACCAGTGAATATTATTTTAGATAAATTTCATCGGAGAAGAACCAAAGAAAAAAGATAATAGCGATAAAAAAGAACCAAATGAATACGACAATTCGCAGATGATTCCGGATTGAGATCCGAACAAACTTTTCAAACATGTGACAAATTTCAAATTGTGAAAATACTATCTTTATGGGTTAGTAACGACTCAAAATAAAATGTGGGTTTATCAATAGTGATGTGTGGAACCTACGAAGAGTTATACTAAAACTTACCATGTGATCCAAGAGCCGAGTATATGAGGCAAAACTCCCATAGAAGAATGCATTTTAACACGGGATTCGTAACCCATAGCTTAGCCGGAAGAGTCCTACGCTGTTCAGTATTGAATTTAAACTTCTTAAACGTGCGCTTTCGATTCATATCTTGTAGAGTTCTTTCTTAGATCATGACCAGCGTGGACGAATTTTTTTCCTTTTCTTTTCTTTTTGATTATTTCATTTTTGTTTCATTGTTGGGTTTTTTCCCCTTTAGCTGCTACTGACGTCCTGTTCTCAAAAAAAATACTGATGACTTTCCTCTCGAGAGACTTTAATTACTTAGCTTATTTCTGATAAAGGTAGGGTGTTGAAATTGGCAAAAGTTGTAAATTTAATATGTTCAAATATTCATCATTTTGAAGGCAAATGACACGGCAGTCATTAACAAACACCATTCATCCCAAAGGTAACAGTCTCTAGCCAAAATAAAGCTGTACTATCTGTAGAGGATAACCGACAAAGTGAATTAAACAACAAAATGCGAAAATAGAATGTCACGTGCGTCTTGCGTGTTCTCTCTCGTGTAAAGCCTCTGAACATGCACAGTTGCCTACCTTGTCGTGTCAAAATGTTTAGAAATGTGAAACTTTCGGCGGCATTTTTTCCCGCTTTCGCTCGGTAACTTTTTTTCACTTTTGGCATGTTGTCTTCGCTTCACCCGCAATGTCTTGAGAGCGATTTTTAAAAAATTCTGTCAACAGAGAAAAAATTAAGAATGAATTCCAAAACGGGGGGATTTTCACAAAAAGATTTCTGACAGAATTTTATTTAAGCTGGCTCTCAGGTAGAATGCATAATTATAAGACTGTATGCAAAATTTAAACTCAATTTACCGTGGAATTTTCGAGAAAATTGAACATTTGTCTGTTCGTGGGCCTTTCTCTAAAAGCCCTTCGTGTTGCTATGGCAACGCTGACGACGATACTTCTACAACTAATTGATGGGGCGTTAATAACTTGAAATTTGATGATGATCCGCTGAGCCTAACTTAAGTTGTTTTGGTCCTAAATACACTAAATAGGCAAAAAAAAAACTGTTTCGAGCCACCTTTACTGCATATCTACTCTATTTCCTCTAATAACCACCCATAGGCGGCCTCCCCCAAATAGTGGCCCATCACTAAGGCCAAAATGATAAATACGCGCACCCTCCAATAAGTGCCCCCTCCCACTTCACTTTCTCAAACAAATTAGAGGGGATGCAAAAAGAAACCTGCTTGTATTGTCAGTATATTAATAAATTTTAAATAACGCCCGGGCACTTATTCGAGGAAATAGTGTATACCGCAATTACGTTCCAACATTGGACTTGCACCAATGCAGGTTGATGAGTAAGAAAGTGCATTGAAAACTGAATTCATGAAAAGATGAAGATGATAAATTAAGGGATTTCCTTATAATTAAACATTCTTTTCAAATATCTGAACAGCAAATTTAAGCCTATCTTTAAATTTACCTCACGGCTTCTTTCCAAAGCGTTAAAAAGCATTTGAGAGTACTTTTGTCGACTAAAACGCGGATTTGTACCATCATCAAGTTAGGACATGAAGCACCATGTAACAATTTCATCTACCCACCATAGTGAATATCAGATGGAAGTCGTTAGAACGCATTTGAATTTTCAAATTTTTACGAGGGAGGAAACCTCTGCAATTTAATTAGAAACCCATATCGCCAAGGTTCTGTTCTGTTTTCGTTTTCAGTCCCTTCATGATTAAGTTAACGAAAACGAAGAAACCATCTCTTTAACAGGCCGCTACAATTGGCCAGAACCTAATTCAGAGCCAATGAACCCCGAGTTCTCTCAGACAGTTGGAAACTGGAAGTCTA